CGGCTTGTTTTACAACGTCGTTGCCAAGCGACGAAAACCCAACCCCGATGGTAAACACCGGGGGGGGCGATGGGGGGGGGGCATCACAGTCAGAAAGCTAAAGAGATATTCGCTTGAGACATTCAGAGTTTCAAGAACACGCTGCAGTGCAGAGCGCAGGCCTCGCCAACACACGTAACGGAGCGAACACCACATGGTACACCCGATTGGCCATTCGCTTTTCTTTTATCCTGCAAACGTCGAGAGGTACATTGCGACCTTTCATGGAGGCGTTGGCCGAAAAATCTTGAAAAGGAGGAGCAACTTGCCCGAGGAAGAAGGGTTCTCGCCTATCGGTGAGCAACCGCCGGCAAACAACGCGCCATCAGCTTGACGCCAGCTGATGGCACGCGTGCATATTTCGCGGCGGAAAAGGGGCGTTCCGTACGGTTGCCCAACCACAGGGGAAGCGACGCTTCACAGCGACTGCCCCGCGGGCACGACAGCAGATGCGAAACAATACATGTGTGTCGGACCATCGTTCCCCAGCACGAAAGCGTGTTGCAGGTTCGTTTCTCGCAAGTTCTCCAATAACATAACCACACCTCTTCCGCTCTGTCGACTTGAGTTCCATGGTTTCGACAAAGGAAATTTTACATATTTTCCTGCGGCCGCTCCACGTTGTAACAACATCCAACAAACACGCCACTTCCCGTCGATGGGGACGGCAGGCATCACTCCTCACGAGCTGCGGTGCCGAAACCACCGCCGCGTGCCCAACCCCCCTCCCACCCCCCGACGAAATTCGCCTGCTCCGAAACGCACCTGCAAGAGGAGGCAGACCCACTGGCTGGCCACCTTCAGCCACACGCTCTCCAACGGGGTGATCGCGGTACCGATCGATTCCGGAGATCTGGCAGAGAGAGAGAGAGAGAGAGAGAGAGAGCAAAACAAAAAGCGGGATATGACAGCAAGAAATTGACTCGGTGCTCTCTCGTGGTGTATTCGCCAGCAATGGGGGGCTTGGTGGACAAAAAAAGGTCGGGCAGCACGCCATGGTGGGCGCCTCTTGTAAGTTTTGCGGGACCGACCTGCGGGAGCCGCGCGAGAATGGCCCGTCTGACAGCTTTACGTTTCTCTTGTCGGAAAAACGGGTGCTAAACGAAGTACAAAAAAACTGCCGACCGCCACTCGTGGCCAAGACACCACACCGCGCAACATCAACGTTCCACGTCGCGATGAGCTTTTGTTTCGTATCAAAGGGACCACAACCCACCCGCCCACGTGATGATGCAGGCTACAGGCAAAATGGCTGCGAGTACTCTCATGTCAATGGGTGCTCTTCGACCCAGTGCTACCAAAAACTCTCTTGTGTCATACCCTCACGTGCACTCCGAGCTAGTGCGCCGCTGCACTTCACCACGAACGGTAGTCTGGGCTCAAACATCCCAAACCGAAGGAGATGGCACCAGACAACCTCCGCACACACAAACCAACTCCTGCTTCCTCCCTGTCGTTAGAAACCTTTGGTTGCAATGTGTTCACAAGACTGAAAAATTTTCATTTGTCAGCCGGGTGTAGCGCGGTCGATACTAACAATAAAAAAAACACACACATGCTCACGGGGTCAAAGTGTTTTTGTGTTTTCAACCGCGCTGAGACTGACAACCTTTCATTGGTCACCCGGTTAGCGCGGTCGATGCTAATACAAAATTCACACACACACACACTAACGTACAACAAAAAAGGAACGAAACTCATGCCCCTCTCACCCGTCCGTGCGAGCCCAGGAGGTCATGGCCATTGCGGCGAAGCAGCTCGCGGAGGCCATTGCGGCGCAGAAGAACACCCGGGAGGGTCGCGACTCGATCGCATCTTCCCCGTCACCCCCCTCCGCCGTGTCGTCGTTGTTGA